GAGAATACCTATAAAATATCGTAATCATAACGTTGAAACAAAATTAGATCAGTAAATAGAAAAGTGTACATTTTTTTTTTACAAATTGTACAACTTTCACGCGTTCTCGTGAAAATTTTTTTTCGAATTTTTGGCTTTTTTTTCCCCCTATATCGACAGTTACGTCACGAATTTCACGATTCGTAATCCTAGACGAAGCCATTTCCACCCTCGTCTTAGGATTTCGATTTCTTTTCCCCTATAAGAGTCCAGAGTCCACCACCCCTATTTCCACACAGCATCCTCCACGGCTTCTTATTTCTTAGCCAGATGTTCACTCGAATCTCTATAGGCGACCTATCGGCAGGATCGATCGGAGAGGAGCGCAAATTTTATTTCTCATCCCGCCAGAAGCACAAAGCAAAATAAGAAAACCTCGAGATAACAACCGCAGCATCTCAAAAGAAAATCCCCCAAAAAAAGTCGTACGTCACAATAAACGGTTTAATTTTAGATTAACGATGCACTGTTGCCAAATTTGATCTCAATAAAAAAATAATAATGATAACTCATCCTCGACACTGAATTTGCACTATCGCAACCTAAAATATAAAAAATCGTACAAAAAATAAATTACCTACAAATTAAAGGCTCTCAGAGCTTCGGGTATGCCCCCATATATTTTAATTTGAATTAACCCCTGGATAAGAAACAGATAACCATAGGTGGATCAACATATGCGTTAAAACGCTAGATTGAATAACCTATAAGAAATTGGAGGTTCAAAATAAATTTGCGAAAAAAAAGTAAAAAATCCCATACTCCCAAAAATCTCATTGTATTATTATCTGCTACCCGTACTCGAGTTATTTAGGTTTAAAATGTACACCCCGTATACACGGGTACACCCCGACATCATTGATAAGATAATCCTGATCTTATGAAATTTCCAAGAGTCCCTACAGATACCGTATACACTTATCTCCTCTCAGTGACAACTAACGTATACCTATATATTGCTTTTCCCTATTTTCACGTCTCCCGCGCCTCCTACGCTCCGTCCAACTGGAGCGATCAAGGACCCTGGTCGTTTTTGGTGCGTGGGGAGCAAATATGGCAACGCAGCAGAGAAGGCCCTCCCCGTTTTACCCTGGGTAATAAGGCAACGCCGCTCCCGGCATATTGCTTAGGGGTTGCCAACCCCCAAAAGACATTGTCCCCGTCATTACGGCAAGACGTTACTTCGACCTGTAACGTTGATCCTGGTTTGTTTCAACCTGATGTGAAAAAGTACCCCTATTTTTTATTTATCTCTCGTCATCCCTCAAAAATTTATCCATAAATCACAACGTGGACCAGCTCTTCGTTTTTGGTCGTTACGTCGGAGAAAAAGTGATTCGATCGAATTTTTGATCCGACAAAATTTTTTTTTCCAGTATACTTTTTTTTTTACCGGCACTCTACTCTCACGAGGAAACAAGTGTCGGTTTTCCAGGGGTTGGTACCCCATTTCTACCGTTGGCAATAAATCAGATTCGCAGACCGGCGGGTCGTGCTTCTTGCTGCTCCGGATCCTTATGAAAAATGTGGCTGAACGTGATCGCACTTAGGGAACAGAGAGAGAGAGAGAGAGAGAGAGAGAGAGAGAGAGAGAGAGAATGAGCTATTGCGAATTTAGGTAGAGGACAGTCGTATGGACTAGATAGAGGACACGTGGGTGGAACTAAGACAGATGGGAGAGGAAAAAAAATTAAAAAATTTATTTCGCTGGAGTTGACCAAACCGGGTTGAATTTTCATCCTCGTTCCTATGGCGACAGGGGAATCCCCGTAGGTCTTACTCACGCCTCGAGTATTTTCAGAATCCCCGATGAGAGACGGAGCCCACTGTTTTCCTAGTCTCTCGCACTCGATCCATTCGTTCTACTACAACGTGCACGAGTGAGATAGCGTGTTGGCCTCTTCAATGGACACGACAGAGACAGAGAAGAGGCGTCATCTTCCCCACGTGATATTTTCTTGAGCCAGCCAAGATAAACAAAGAACACATTGCTGAGTATTGCTTGTGTATATATATATGACGATACACAGTGACACGTGGGAACTTGCCATGTGCGAATTTTAAGGGTAGTTACAATTTTTGTCGATATTTTATTTATTTTTTTTTTTTCACAAGCCAACATGGCCGATAGGGTTATCGGTAATAATGGTATTTGTCAAAAGGCCAATTTACTTGATTCTTATACAGTTGAATCAGCTGCGGTCGGGCTGTACGTTGGGACTGAATCGATCTGTGTATTGTATATTCGTGGCTATTTTTTTATTTTTTTTTTTTTCATGGGGAACCATGGGTGGCTCAAGGGGAATTTCAAGAGCGTTATGGGACACCCTAATGGCCAATGACTTTATTGCGGTCCATTTGATATACTCCATGGTAAACGGGAAATGGACGATTTCCGTTGGTATAGAACGGTCCTTGTATTATATATATATATGTATCTAGTCCTCAGGTATGATTGACCGGATACGTGGTATATCCTAAGCGGGAAATCGACGTGACGTAACATAATGCTATTGCGAACGAGGCTTTATTTTTCCTTTATTCGTATTATCGAAATTTTTCGGTTCGCGCGAAACTATTGTACAATTTGAAAAACAAATTCGAGTTTCTTTATTTTATCTTCGTATCAACTTGAGAGGAATATATTTTTTATTTTTTTTTTATTTTTCAACCGTAGTCGAGATACGATCGGGTTTATCGTGAATTTCACGGGTCGATTAACCAGAGGGATTCTCGTGTCTGAAATTTATCGTAGCGTAAAGCATTTTGCTCAGGATATATGCGGATCGGCGAAAATACCCGAAGTCTCCCGAATGCTTCCGAAGTTTCCGTAATACGTGCGTATATAGACGGCGTGGATTATCCGTATTATAAAAAAAAAAGAAAGGGATGAAAATTTAATAAATTTAAGTTCGATTAAGAATTTACGATGGAATCTGGTAAGGGTTGCTAATGACTGAGAGAAGGAATAGGGATGAAGTAATAATGAAATGTCCAGTCGATTTCGTACGAGGTATGAAATTTTTTGCAGATTTGGGGGTAGCCTTGAATTTAAAAA